TTAATTATCTCGTTTGCTCATAATAATTCACAGGTCTTACTTATAGGAGATATGAGCGTCAATCCGAGCCATATCAGCTCATCTCAATTGCAAAAATTGATGCAGAATGTGTAACAGCCCGTTGTACACCTGTATTGTTAACATTGATTATGATATTAAGCGCAGTTACAATCACAACAATTCATTTATAAAAATGCGAATAAACTATTTTCCTTTTTATTACGCGAGCATTTAAGGCAATAATAAAGCGTAATAAATAAAAGTTGTGACCGTAACTGTAAACTCTTTGCAGAATAATTATTTAAACTGTCTAAATATATAACACTCCTCTCAAGTCACTAAGGGGTTCCCATAAACCCACTTAGCTAAAATCTCATTTTTACATTTTCTATCTATCCGAACATGGTTCGATATTTTAATTACTATGGATAAACAGCATGCCCTGAACCTCTCATCTTTTAGTATGTTATTCTAGACTTAATTACCTTTATAACAAGCTATCACACGAGTCATAAAATTCTCGTTTGCTCCGGATATCACCGTTTGAAGTTGGACAAGCAAATCTGCCAGCCAACCTCAAACAGGGCTCCAAACAGCCCTCACTCTCTCAATGATTCTGGAAAATCCACTCAACCAATTGCTCTCAAATTTTTATACAGTAAACTAGACACCTTAAGCTTAAATGTGACATATTATACACCTAATTTGGCCAAGAAACGAAGCAGGAATAAAATTCTCAAAATCTGCCAGAAGCAGCCAGCACAAAGGCGTCCAAAGTAGTCCATGCTCTCTGGCCTCTACAGGGCAGCTCACACCTCCTATGGTTCTCAAATTTGGACACAAGGTAGTTGACATCTCAAGATTCAAAATGGCGTATGGCATGACCCTATTGGACTTTTGTGGAGGGCGATATGCTCTCCCAAAGTTCACCCAAATTCTGCCAATTTCTAGAAATTTTGCCAGAGTTTCCTTTGTTTTTTTTAGTCAATTTATGCAACCGGATTACGATACAAATTTGAAAATGAATCAACCCAAACACAAATTTTTCATCTCGCGTTGAAAGTTACATATCTAAGAAAGAGATAATTTTTTATTTAAATTAAATTTATAAAATCAAATCATGATATTATATAATGGTTGATCTAAAAGTGGATTGCGACCCCACAAAAATTTCGGCAGACTCGGCACCTCAAAGACCAAGATCATGATAATTTATTGTTTTATTACTCACATTTTAAAAATTTCCTCAACTCAAAAAAAAAAAATATATTATTAAGCAAAGCGTGCATTTGACATTGTCAATAGATTGATATTGTCACTTGTAATTAGTTCAGCGGTTTCCGGTAACAAGGTATACTTTTGTCCTTCATCATTCATTTAGGGTTTTGGCCCTTATAATTTTTTCTTCTGTATAGAAAAATATAATTTGATATATTAATATGCAAGGACCAATCATTCATGAAAAATAAAAACTATACTTTCAATGAATGGTAATTAGAGAGACTAAAATATAAATGATGAACAATATAGGGACTGATATGCATAAAAAGTTTTGAATTTGATCTCTATACAATCGTTTTTAACTTTGTTCATTGTCATTATAATGCGAACATTGGTATGATCATTGTGATATATATATTCATTGTCATTATAATGCGAACATTGGTATGATCATTTTGATATATATATATATATATATATATATATATATATATATATATATATATATATATATATCAAATTGAAAATGATTATCACGTATAAAGATTAAAATAACTATCACGTATAAAGATTAAATTAAAAATGATTATCTAATAAAAAATAATATTTTTGGTCCTCATACTTTATTCTTGTTTTTTATTTGATCTTAAAACTTCATTGTATTATAAATATAGCAGATGATGTTATTATAATAATAATAATAAACAATGACGATAAGGACAGCTGCTCAAAGGTCAGGTTTTGATAGCTGATGAAGTCATGAGTTTTATTCTTACGAGAAGTATTTTGGAGTCAGTGATGAAAATTTTCTTGTTCCAAACTACGAAAGAATTAGTTCTATTTTATTGGGTGGGGACACCCTGAGTTTACTCAATAAAATTAAAAATAAATAAATAAACAATGACTATCCAAGTAAAGCAATTATATGTATAAACATTAAATTAAAAAATAGTTTCATATAAATACTAAGTTGAAAATGAACATTAGAGATATATGATAACCCAAATCATATTCATTTATCTCCTTTTATTTTTGCTTTGGATAGCTAGTCAACTTGTACTTTTTCCACTAGGCTTAGTGAAATTGGATCTACAAATGAAGAAACTAGAAGCAGAATAAAACATTGTTTATGATGTTGAGCAAGTGGTTTCAAAGTAAAAACATTGCAACAAATAATGATAATTCAATTGCTAGCAAGCGAGTTAAAGTAAGTGAAAAATTGCTTACCAAAAAAAAAAAGTAACTGAAAAATAAAAAACCTCGGTTAGATTTCACATATCACTTTTGAAAATAGTTTAAATATCTTCATCCCTAACCGGTCCCACGCTCAGATTAATTCCATAGCCGATTCAAAAAGTCAAAACTTGTAGGAATACCGAAAAGTGCCAATTCGCCTCAAAGAAGTAATTTAGGGTTGAGTTAACTCCAAAAAATAAAAAATAAAAACATTGTTTATATTTTATTTTTATTCTTGGACTATTAGGAAGGAGAAGGCAAATCAGTACCTAAATTCCTCACCTTGAAATCAGTCAAAGTGAAATCTTAGTTCTCCCATCGTTATGAATTTCCACCTCGTTTAATAGTACCAAATCAGAGGAAAATTCTCATTTTATTCCTTTCTTTCACAAATTTTCGTTTTGTTTCTTCAACCTCATTTAATAGTAGCAAAAAGAGATACACCTATTCTAATTATTTCCCTTTCTTGTGGCAGTAGCAAAATCTCTGGTTGTTTTCAAAAATATTTAAAAACTTTCTGAATTTATAAAAGAGGATTCATTGGAAGAAAGAAGAAAGAAGGCAAATCAGTACCTTAATTCCTCACCTTGAAATGAGTCAGTGAAATCTTGATTCTCCTATCAGTCTCCTCATTTAATAGTAGTAAATTAGTGGGAAAATTCTCGTTTTTTTTTTCTTTCTTTCACAATTTTTCGTTTTTTTTCTTCAACCTCATTTAGTAGTAGTAAAGAGATTTTATTGGGGGAAAACTAGCCGTTCCATTCCAAAAATAGGACTAAATCTCCCCTATAAATGAAGACCAAATCTGAGAATCATTTTGCCCCTTGATATCATTCAACAGATTCACAAGAATCTGACACTGACAAAATCGATTAGATGTGCTGCTTGCAAATCTTTGAGGAGAAAATGTCCCCCAGATTGTGTGTTAAAGCCATATTTTCCCTCAACCAATCCTGAGAGATTTTCATGTGCTCATAAAGTCTATGGCGCCAGCAATATTACCAGAATTCTACTGGTAAGGAACATTACACAAATGATTCGTTTATATGATTTCCGCTTGTTAGGCACTAGTATTAGCTAGCATAGGAAGCCACTTTCGGTCACAACTAAAGAAGTCTAATAACTTGGAATTTTGATTATATATAATATTGCCATTGAAGTTTTTTTTGCCACCCAACATTCTTTAGAGAAAAATAAAATAGGCACAGACATGTATTTTGGACAATATAGCCCTTACACTTAATTTGAATTATGAAGGTGTTTTGTTTTCATTATTGCTTCTGATCCAGGGACTTAGGGAGCATTTACGAGCTGATGCTAAGGATAGTATGTGTTTCGGAGCGAGTTTACGTGTTAAGGATTCAGTTTATGGATGTGCGGGAATAATCTATCAATTGCAACAAGAGATAATCCAAGTTCAAAAAGGAGATAATAAGGATCAAGGATGAAATGATATTTCATAATGACCGGAGACAACTACAGCTGCAGTATCAGCAGCAAATGGTTCATGCTAATTATCGAAGTGATTTCTAGCATTTTCATGTCAGTTCGATTGAACAGCAACTCAACCTCAGCATGTCTCAGCAGCCTTTTCACGCATTCACTTCTGCTCAGTTTCCGTAAGAGTCTTCTAAGTATTGATTTATACTTTTCTGTTTTCTTTGTCAGCTCGAGAGAATAAGAGTGTGAGTGGGTGTAGGTCAGAGTGGCCTTTTTAAAATTTGAAGTGCAAGTATTTGTAAGTTGAGTTTCTCCTGATAAAACATTTTACTACTTTATTGTTGAACAGTGTAAAACAGAAGTCATTTGATTTAGTTGAGTGAGCAATCAGAAAATTTTCGCCACCAATCCTCTGCGCTCATGGTGATATGTCCCAATAATCTAGTCATGAATTATGGTGTAGGTTGATCACTCCAAACAACCGACACTAGTTTTTCCAAAGGAATCTAGGTGAATGGTTGCTTTCGAACATTAAAACCAAGATTTTCTATAATTTTGACCTCAAATCAAACTAAGAAATGAAAGAATTACCTAGAATCTAATCAAGATTTTCTCATATCTATATAGAGGGAAACATATTAGCAAGCTTATTAACTACCTATACTCCTAAGCTAGAACCTAGTAATCATATCCTAGATTGGCCTCCCAGTGGAGCGGGAGCTTCCCTTGAGCAAGCTAATTTGGGGTTCTTTCCTTGGTCTATAATTAGTTTTTAACGGGCCTAGCCAAATCTTAAATTACTCTAGTTGATAAAACCATCTATGTTAAAGGAAGGTACTTATTTTATCGGGGATTGGGGAATATGTTATTCGAAGTTAAATTAGAATGAAAGAAACAAGTGTGTATAGTTATTTGATAATTTGTAAACTTACACACACACAGACACACACAAAATCTACGTAAAGCAAGAATTTATACAGAAAAAGTTGAGAAATATTATATGTAAAGTACCTGTTTATTTGGTGAATTGGTGGGCTTTTTTTCCTTGTAACAATTAGTCTCCTCGCTAAAAAAACATGACACCCAATGGTCGATGATTCAATTCACACAAAATCTGGGTGAATGTCATCTTCTACCCTTTGCTCACTAGTTAAGGCTTCTAATATGTTGTTGTTCCATGGACCTGAGTGGTCCTTGAAGTCAAAGCCTCTCTTCCATCCAGATTCTAAGTTGTCATTATCCTCAGTTAAGTAATCGTTCCATTTTGAGGCTGCCCTGCTGATTGTCGGTTTGCATTTCTGACTCCTCCTATTATCTGGTGTCACGTAATCATTTCTCTCTGAATTGTTTTCAGTCAATGATGTAATTCTTTGCTGATCTTTCATGGGTTCCTCTGCATCGGTTTGAATCCGGATCATGTTAATGCTAATCAACCCATTTATAAAATAAAATTCTTCTTTCTTATTGTATTTTCTGCTCTTTACATCACAAAGCTATCGGTAGTTTCTAAAAGAAAAAAGAACTTAGATGAAAATTTATTTTATCTGCATTGATAATCAATCCAGAGTCCCAATCCCTTCAGCCACCTGCACTAACCCAGATTAGTTTAAGAAAATCGCTAAACTACTAAAACCACATTCCATGCAACAAATATATGAGTGGTGATATTTAACTTGTACCAATTAGTTGCCTTACTATTCAGTCAATTTATGTTTTATGGTTTTTTCAGTTGCAAACAAGTGTTTGCTACGGCTCTGGATTGCTCAAGGGAAGGAATTTCTCAGCAACAAAGGAAAAAGAAAGAAAAGATGGGAAACCAAAGATCATACAAGAGGAAAATCCTCTTAACAGGGGGCACTCCCCTTCAACTGATAAACTCTCCGCCTAACACTATTTTTTTTTTTCAAAAGCTATTCCTAATGAAGGGCAATCTCCCTAACTAAGCTTCTCTCAAAATCCTATAACTATCTAACTACCTAACTCACAAGTCTAACTGCCTATACGGCAGTGACTATCACCTTGAGAGTAGAATTAAGGAATATTCACCTCGAGAATTTGGGAAAAGTGGCTTTTTGAAAAGCTTGTCACTTCCTGCAGTTGAATTCTCCACCAATCTGCGCTTCTTGAGCATGCCCTTCTCCAACTCAGTCACAACCAATGGCTCAAAATCATCTCCTGTTCAATTCAATCCATCTCAAATTCATCAAAAAGAGCCAAATACCACTACAATGAACCAAAATCTAATTAATCTACAATTGCGAAAATAAACTACTTCCGCTATGCACTATATAATGCATAAATTATATAATTATAGTGTATCAATACACCAGTAATATATAGTGTATTAACCACGACAATAATATACAGGTCCGGTCCATGGATTTAGTTTCTTGCAAATGCAAGGTAAGATTGTTTACTGTAGACTCACACAACATAACAAGAGCATTATAGCACCATGCTGCTTTTTTTTTTTTTGTGACGATATTAAAAAATGATAACACAGTGATATAAAGCTCTCCACTATGTCTAGGGAAAGATCATAGTAAGCAGTCTTATCTTGTGTTTACAAGGGGCTGATTAAATTGATCAAACATGTGATATTGTACACTATAGTTCTATAGTATAATAAATTATTGTTCTTAGAATTAACCATTATGCTCTTGTTCTCCTCCGTGGATTGTGTGATGATCCCCTTGGTCCAGGTACGCGGTCCAATCGTTCCTCTTCTTTTTTGGGTTGACAGGGAACTGTCGTTCGCCATCGCCATGTTCCGACACCAGATCTAGGGTTCCGGCGAGGAGCCATTCTCCGTCGTCAAGGGCTTTACGGGACATGTTGAAGTTCTGGACGAACTTGCGGATGTCCTTGGCCATGAATCCCTGAGCGAAGACTTTGCGAATAGATTGCTTCTGGTTGCACACCGCGCAACCCCATTTGTTTCCGCTCTTCTTCTTCTGCTTCACCTGAATAATAAAAATGGTTGCAAACCGTGTCAATCATGGGAATATCAGAATCCATAGGGGAGAGAGATTTGGAGGAGAGTGCCTGCATGGTGGAGCATTGGCAGCATTGGAGGGCGATGAAGACAGTTGAGGATGACATTTGATTGATGAAAAACAAGTCCCTATGTTGTGAGCTGAATCTGTTTGGAACGATGGAAAATTTTAGGGAAATTTGGGGAAATTTTACACCGGAAGGGTTTTGTGTTTGGCGCCTAATTTTTGAAATATGAAGTTTAAATGGACTTGAGAGGAAAAATTTATGGAAATGTTCCGTGTGAAAAAATATATATAATATAGTCATGTGTAAAGATTATAATTATATAAAAGTGAATTAATGGTTATGATTTTATAATTAATTATTTTAATATTTTTTCTCTTTTATTTTATTACTATTGATCTACCTTTATATGATTATGATTATTCACATGATCATGTCATATTTTTTTTACATGAAAAAATCTGGATACAAAATTTATAATACTAGTGCGTTATATCAATTGATATTTTTTTGGAGAGAAAAAAAAATTTAGTATTTTAAATTATACATTCCTAAATGTATAATGTAAAATCTCGTCACACACCCGATAATTTATACCCGTATTGAAAATGCTCTAGGCTTCACCAATATTGCGCAAATTCTGAGTTTTGATTTTATTTTTTTTTGGAAAAACTTCAAAAAAATTCTCTATGAGTTTTCTTGATTATCACTTACTCCCTTCACAAATTTTTTGAATCATTTATACTTTTATTTAGATTTTTTTATTACTTATACCCTGATTTCAAGTTTTTTTATCACTTACCCCCTCACTTAGGGGGATAAATGATAAAAAAACTTTAAGTCAGGGAGGTAAATGATTCAAAATTTTGAGGAGGGGGTAAATGATTATGAAGAAAGTTATAGGAGAATTTTTTAAGTTTTCCCTTTTTTTTTTTTAATGTGAATCTGTTGATAGATTTATTGAATGTCATAAAACTATCTGGTCACCGACGTGTGGGCCAGTGCGTCAATGGACACAAGTAAGTGGGTTATTGGTTCAATTGTTTAAATTGAATAAATATGTATATATTCATATTTTTTACTATTTTTTTGGAAAAATTATAACATGAACTAACATATGTAATGATAAATAAAAAAATAAAAAGAAGAAAGATGAAAAATAAAACCATTTGAGTTCCATTTAATTCTTAGCCTTAACCTAAAAACACTATTAAGAAAAAGAGTAAATATCTTTTTCAGTCCTGAGCAAATTTTACGATACCCGCTTTAGTCCCTAGCAAATAAAAAGGCTATTCGTGGTACCTAAGAAATTCAAAGTGGATTCATTTTAGTCCTTTTGAGGGATTAATGTGGGTCTTTTTTAAATTTGTGACGGACCACGATTTGAACTAAATAGGTTCATTTTGAATTTATGAAGGACCACAAATAACCTTTTATTTGCTAGGGACTAAAGCGGACATCATAAAATTTACTGAAGATCAAAAAGAATATTTACTTTAAAAAATAAAAAGAAAAGACAAAAGAAGCCCAATCTATTATCAACCTAACACAAATAGTAACTAACAGCCCATCGTAATTGGCCCTCACCCACAAACTTTATTTATTCCTAACTTTAGAAAAAACCAAGCCACAATCACTCAATTTAAGAGTACAAATGGCAGAGTCGCGCGCAAAAATTGCATCAAAGAGTCACCCGTCACAACAACCCAACCAAGTTTTCATTCCTCCACATGCTTCTTCGATCCGAAACAAAGCATGGTTGTTTCCCTACAGGACGACAACCAGAAGCTTTGTTATTGGTTGACATCAGATGAAAGTAGGGATGTGTAAAATAATCAAAAAACTAAATCGAACTATGAATCGAACCGAGTCGTTTCCGAACCGAACCATTTTCAAATCAAATCAAATTGATTTTTATAACTTTATTTTGAAAATTTTTAATTTTTTTTCTTTTTAAAAGAAGGTCGACCCGAACTGATTCCAAACCGAACCAAGTCATTTTTAACCGAACCACTTCCGAACCGAACCATTTAAATCAATTCGGTTCGATTTTTCAAAAAAATTAGTTCAGTTCGACCCATGCACATCCCTAGTTGAAGGTGAACGTCTCCACCTCTACTAGAAGCTTGTCGTTGGTGGACATCCGTTTAAGGTCTTCACCTCCTCCTCAACCATGTCACACATCCCGACCAAGCACCAAGCTGATCTATCTAATAGGAAGATGTCACTTTCGTTTTCTTTTACTTTTCAAATGAATGAGTCGGTTTTTTAAAATCAACCGGATCACCAATTTTTTTGAAAAACCGGCTGAGTCAAAATTTATATCGGTTCACATACATTTCAATCTATTGTACAACCCGAACTGATTACATGGTTGGTTTCCTAATTCCCAAGCTGACCCGATCAGTCCGAGCTGGACTTTATGATACTGAAGTTGACTAATGGTCAAATTTTATGGGCTCATGTAATATTTATATACAATATATAAATTAAAATATTTATTTATAGGCCCTCAATTTCTTCTTTTGTTGCGGAAGAAATTTTATGCAACAACCAATTATAATTATGTCCTGATAGTAAAACATAGTTGAAATATTAAAGTTATTTTTTTTCTCTCCTCACATCAGCCAACAACCTTATGAAATAATTTTTAAAATTATAACTATGTCTTACCGTTAAGATATAGTTATAATTGGTTTCTATAAAAAAATTTATTCTCCCATGAAAGGAGAAATACATTTCTCTTTATTTATAGTGATGAATGTATTTAAACTAGTTTGATTAAATAATTGATTGCGAACTTGTAACCTAAATTATTTTCTATTTACATTTACCTATTATGCAAATATGTTAGGTTTGAATTCATAGTAAATGTTGTTTAACTAATTGGTTGAATTCTAAGCTTGAAAATAATCAATTTCTCTTACTAAGCTAGTGTAATTATTTAAGGAATAACGTTTCTCCTTTAACAGGAGATAAAGTTATTTCCTGCAACCCTAAAACAACATCGTTTTGGAATTTAAGAAAAAATACAGGGTATTTTAGTAAAATTCATTATACAAGGAGAAAGTAAAATATTCAAAATATCCTGCATTTTTTTTCTAAACCCTAAAACAATGTCGTTTTGAGATTACTAGAAATAATTTATCTCCTGTTACAGGAGAAAAACTTTTTTCAATTATTTATTATTTAAGTATATAATTAATGGGTTTAATATTTTTTCTGCAAACAGGAGATAATTTTATCTCCTGCACGTAAATATCTTAATACTCTCGTAGTATCGAAGACTCAGTACAACATTGCTAAAACTAGAAAAAAGTAACACACCTAACTTCACTTTTTTCACCCACTCCTTTATGGTCAATGACACCGAAGTCTTGTTTTTCCTATTTTTAGTAAATGAGTGACTTAAGAATATGAACAAAGTGTACTTACTCTTATAGTAGTGAAGATATGCTCATCCTCCACACAAATAGAAGTGGGTGGATTTTATTTTTTCTCTTTTTCTCTCTTCTCATCATACGCGTCTCCCACTCATATATGTATGCAAGAGATAAAGTTACATTGTGCTTAAAAGAGAAACATTAATCTCGTAGTTAATTATTTATAAAAATTGCATAATTTATTAATGGAAAATATATTTGTCCTCTTAAAGGATATAATTTTTTATCATTTTAGATCATAACCATTAATTTTTGTTAATTAACGGTTATAATTTATTGGGTCAAGTTTATTAATTAATTAGTAATTCGCAATAAATTATAATCGTTGATTGACGGAAATCAACAGTTAGGATATAAAATGACACCAAGTTATATCCTTTAAAAGGATAAATATTTTTCCCTTTATTAATTATAAATTAAGGGGAAAAGTGTCTAATGTTACTTTAGATAACTTTGTCTAATGTTCACCGAAACGACGTTGTTTTGGGATTAAAATTTAAAATGATAAGGATTATTATAACCCTAACATAAATTAAAATTACAAACATACCATGATTTTCGCCCCAAAACAACCTCGTTTCGGTGAGCATTAGACAAAGTTATCTAAAGTAACTTTAGAAAAAATGAACCCTATAAATTAAGGGTTTAAAATTTCTAAAAATTACTTTAGGTAAATTTATCTAATGTTCACTAAAATACACGCAAAAAAGTGTGTGAGATCCATATAGAACCATGTGAAGAGAAGAGAGAGAGAAATAAAATATGGGCCCTACACACTTTTTTTATGTACTTTGGTGAACATTAGATAAAGTTATCTAAAGTAACTTTAGAAACTTTAAATCCATAAATTAATATAGTATATTAATTTTATAAATAACATAGTAATTTTATTAAATATTACACTAATTTAAAAATAATAAAAATAAATATCTTGACATAATTAGGTGGATTTTTTTTGAAAATATTTCAATCGGTTCATTGTTTCACAACAAATCCGATTCGGGGCGGGTCTAAGATTAAGGCTTTAAACCCCTCCCAAAGGTGGTATTGGAGAGATTCGAACACATGCTCTCATCCCCACCTGCTTAGCTCCCATGAGCCAACTGAGCTACCACCATTTGGTATTTAGGTGGATGTTTGTAACACCCCATGTGCACCCGATGTATTAACTCCTTTATAGCATTAAGTGTAGCTAAATAGTAGTTATGAGGCATTCAATTAATCCTTATACATGATACTCCCCTTAGGTAACCAAAACAATTGATATCATTACTGAAAACGAGAGTAAACTTTTTCTTTTGCATAAACATGTTGATTCATCGCTTAGCTAACCCCAAACCATGAGTTATGGAGGTTAACTTAGGTAGAAAGACCTTATATATGATCCCACCCTCATACCAAGTGATTCACACAAGATTAAAGGTGTATTTAAAGTTGAAAAGATCCAACAGCAGTGTGCTAAAGCACTCTGTAGCGTGCAAAGGTTATTTTACATGACCAACACGTTAGCTTGCGTTGTCACATGCTCTATAGCGCACTATGCGCAAGAGTTTGCACATTTTAGCGCCCTTAAGTGCGCTCCAACACTAGTATAAGTCCCAATTTTGAAACATAAACTCACTCTTGGTCACACACCAAGGTTTATTTCCCCCTAATTGA